GGGGGAGTGGACATGACAGCAGATGACAGAACATGAAAGGGAGCAGGAAAGGAGGTAAAAGGAAATTTTTTTTAGAGAAGAACATTTTCTGTCACTGTCAGGTTTCAAACCCAGGGCATATATTGAATTAGAGTCGAACACCTTACCTCTAGACCATGAAAGCCCTCGCTTTGAAGTTTAATCATTTAAAACGGGTTGCCAGTGAAACCTCATAATAAGCAAAAAATGTCAATAAAGGCTTGTTCAGTATTCCTGATGATCCCATGGTTAGAATATGATGAGTCACAATGTTTAGGGTGTGTACATTGAAAAAAAAGTTGGAGAGGAATATTAAAACAAGCAGGTCAGCAGTGGTGGGAAAATCGTGTGTGCATCAGCATGTCCATGTGCTGTGTATTTGGGCAGGTTTTACGAGCAATATTCATTAGGGCTGGGCAATGAGTCACTTTAGCAAAATCCGGATAATATGTTTTATGTTAGTATTGTTATGTTAGTGCACCTCTTCAGGGATTAAATGAAAATGAGTTATAAACCGCTTCCGTAAATTTAGGTAAGAACCACTTCGAAAAGCGGGATAGAACCATTTCAACAAATGGGTGCACCTGCTTCTCAAACGGGTCAGGAAAGAGTTTAAGAGTCTGAATTTGGATAAATAATATTTCATTATTGAATTATTCAGTTATCCGTATGTTATCCGGATTTTGCCCACCTCCAATATTCATGATGAGAAGTGCATCAGACCATGTAGATTTTAAGTGCGTGTAGTGAATGCATACAAGTGTATCTCTCTGTTCTACTACTGAGCAAGGGGAGAAAAGTGAGAGAAGATGTTTCATTTGTTATGAAATGAAACTGTTGTTGGGGGAAAGGGGGGCTGAGTGGGGGTGGAGAAGAGAAAGAAAAGCTCAGAAAATGAAGGACAGGGAAGACCTTTGACTTTGACTAGAGAACTGGTCTCTGGGATGAAAACCTTCTAAACAGGTCACATGGGGGCATTTAGGCAGGCTAAAATATATCTAGATCTAGATCTAGACCTTGCTCTTACTCTTAGATTGGGGAACTGTAAATTTATAAACTAGCCACTAGACATTGGCAAAGGCAAATAGGCTTTAGATAGCAGGAGGGTTAAAGAGGCTGTCCTTTATTCAAACGGATACATTTACATGTAAGCAAGCTATCTGAACCAACAACGGCGGCACACCTGATAACACATGTAAACCAACAGCGCACCATGAAAGTTGCCTGACCTACACCAGTCACTGAGCTCTCAAAGTCAACGGCTTTGGTAATGCAGTCACGGGTAGCCGTAATAATAGTACACTAGACTCTAGACTCTACTGCTAGGCCTAACAGGGTGATCTGAAGCACGTAATCCCCCAAATAAGCGATCCATTTCTATAGGCTCGAAAGACTGACGACAGCATTTCCTCATCGGGAATCAATATCAAGTTTTTTCGCTAGATCTGAGCTCAACCTAACTAACTTTTCTAAATCGAATGTAGATCTAGCCTAGACCTAGAATAGAGAGGAAAATAATAACAAAGATCAGGGGCAGATAATTTTGCATTTTCACGGTGACGAATTCAGTACTTTTTGCTCTCGGTTTGAGGGGCCCCCTCGGATTAATATTGAAAGTGGGAGAAATTCGACGAGTTCAAAAAAAGTTCAGTGTTAACTGGTGAAACTACAATGTTAGCCAAATCAATTCTTTTACCCAACTTCAACACAAAGCTTGTACAATCAACTCAAAATTATGTCAAATAGATGTCACTCGCTTTACATATTTACATTGACGACGAGAAAGGGGGAAAGGAATAAGTCTATTATTTAAGACCGAGGATCAATTAAATTACAGATATGTCTATAACTATAAGTAAACTTACCCTTTGAATGGTCAGAGGGCTACTGAAATCTTTTCCTCCTTGCATACGAAATCCCCATGTTGTAGAACCATCCGTTCTTTCTAACTTAGCTTCCAACGTAAGCACAGACATGTTGTTAGTGTAAGAACAGTCGGCGCTCCAGACGGCCGATCAACAACCCTTTTATTTGACAAACAAGTCCTTGTTGGGTGCCCTTTGACTGAACGAGTAGCCCCACCAGTCAGTGCGGTACGGTACGGAACTAGCGGTGAACTCAAATGACGGGCAAGTCCATCACGACCCTCTCTCATTGGGGTGAACAGGAAATTTTGCACACGACACTCTCTATAGAAAGAAGGAACCCTCAACTCTATTTATGGCGTTACACGCAAGAAATCCCTGCACGGCATAGGGAACACACATTTCAATGAGCTGGTCAGTCAGGTGTGAATCACCTTACAGGATTGGACACGGTCAGAGGTTTGTTGGATTAATTACACAACACATACTGCACAAAAAAGTGTCGCGCTGGATTAACGAGGATTTTAGAATTAGGGGAAGTGAAAGCACCTGGTAATGAAAGAATAATATTTACCTGCATTATTCCCCTTGTTTCTAATACACCTGAAGCGGCCAACACAAAAAGTATGAAGCTTCATCTCGCACACGAAAGCTCCCCCCTCCCCCATTATGTTGTTTTGTTTTAGTTTAACTTTTAATTACATGCAGTTGTCGTTTAGTGTAAGGTACGTTATTACCTGCGAAACGTATCCAAGCACACATTGTATACAGGTAAGCTACTGTTTAAAAGTTATAAAGCTCCGAGTGCGTGGAGCACTTAAGTTTACGTTTCCAGGTTCTGAAGGACGACGATTTGAAAGACTTGACCACCCTGTCTGTTTGGAGAGGTCGAAATCGAGAAGCTGTACAAAAACAGATCAATATTATGAACAAATGATTTGGAAAGCTCTGTTATGACATAATAATATTATGTACTCTTAAGGTATCGAATAAAAAAGGGAGGGGTAGGAATTTTTTAAAAGGGGAAAGAGTGGACAAGTGGTCCAAAATTAATAAACGGAGGGGGGGGGGGGGAAGTTGGA